CATGGAACTTGTAGTTGATGGTCTCAAGCGCGTAGGAAAGTCCTACGGCTGATAACCTGTGATTCGGGCACGAGCCTGTGCCCAGGCAATGGGTAACTTGGGGTAAACAAGCCACAAAAGAAAGATTCCCCAAAAGCAAACCAATCCCCGGTCCCAAAGATCAGGGTTTCCACACACCAGAGAACAACAACCAAAAGGAAACAAACCGAAATAGAAAAGGATACCCGCAACCTTGGTCGACGATGAACCGCACGGGCGATCCCCACCAACCTACCCCGGGCCGAAGTCTCTTTCTCCTCCGACACGAAGGCGGTCGACGTGAGGGCCCGGCGACGCTCATCCGAGGCGCGCCGGATCCAAACTTGAGCCAAACACCACCGGTCAGTCACTATCGCGACATCCCTGGTGATGGTTTAAGACATGGCTAATCACAGAATGTGTTTCTTCCAGGAAAATAATCCTAATCAAACATTGTGGCATTATGAAGTAGGATCAGTAGTTTGCTTGATGCTCGGGCGGCTGTAACTGTCTATTTTTTAGCAGATGGTTGGCTCGAAAAGGCAGTCCTTTAAAATGTCCGAAGCCCCATTCCTTCACCCAAAAAATCGGGCCAGAAACAGTCCAAACTCCCGTTCTCTCGCAAAAAAGCAAGACAAAAGCAACTCAATCTCTAACACTTCGAACACTTCGGTTCCACAATCCCCAGAGTTCCCAGCGACGGGAAATAAGTCGAGCTTGACGTGAACATGGACCAAAGTGTTGATGGACAGTTCGTTTGCTGCCCCGCCCACCCACCCCATGTCCCCGCCACAAAGCAGAAGGCTACAATCATCACCTGGCGAGACATGTCTAGCAACCGAAATGTGCCAAACGAGTCTGATTGAAAGAAGAATAAAAGGGCAGCCGAGCAGAAATTTCAGTCTGGCAATGCAAATTTGGAAATGGCTTCTCTCACAATAGAGGAACCGCACATAGGCCTGCAACGCAATTTTGAAGCGAGGAACCCAGCATATAAAATGACACCTGCAAAAGGGAAAACTCCAGAGGGCCGCAAGAAATGCATGTCCCAATCCGGAACCCCGGATAAGCTTCTGCATTTGTAGATCCACCCTGTGTGGGGAAGATGCGACAGGATTTGGGAAAATTACGGCTTGTCCCCTGGTTTGTGTGGGGAAATTGAGTGAGTCCTAGGATGATGTTGGTCACTTTGGTGTCCTTGGATCTTAGGCGCCCTAAACCTTTGGGCACTCGTGAGAGGTTTCTCCCCCTGAAAAAGCCCAAAACACATTACCAGGTAAACAATCCAACGGGCCGTTTTGACCGCATTGATGGCCAGCAAACCTCCCCCGTTGAAGCCCTTGATTGCTGAATCGAAGCTTTCAGATGCAGAGCCAATCTGGCCGGAGGCTTTAGCGCACTTGGCTATGAAAGCGTCATATCCCGCCGAACGAACAGAAGCAGAGAAGAAGGATCCACCTCCGGCATGTGGAACGCCGATTTTGGGTGCGACAGCATTCTTGAAAGGCCCAAAAACACAACGCCCACTTCGGAAAGGCCCCAGTCTCTTTTTTTACCTTGGAACTGGAATCTCGTGGAGGTATCTGCCTCCAGTCTCTTTTAGTCTCTGGGGCTCCAAGATTTGGGAAAGTCGTGGGGAGGCACCAGGTCAAACGACAGCCACTCCCACTGTTTTCAAAAGCGGTTGGGTCGCATGTGTTGCTTGATAGGAGCCATTTCTGGTGAACCGCACTCGAGAAAAGCTGTATGGCCCGTGCAACGCATCCCTTTGGCCAGCATTCGGATCCAACGGCCGGTTTTAGAGCAAATCCCCCCCAAAGGCCCAATTTGGGGGAGAGCCTTGACAAATTGGGAGGGAAGGAGGTAAGATTGCCCCAAAGTTATAGGATGCGCTGCCTTGCAATGGGAGTTCAAGATGGTCCGCTGGGATTTAACCACTTAAAAAAGAAAGCCTGGGAGGGAATCAACCAACTTGTCATCCTTGAAAGCAGGACCCGAACGTGAGGACGTTGCGTTTTCCCTTCTCCTATGGACGGATTTGTTCTTCCAAGCAATTGGGGGGCCTTGTGCTCGCTCCATGGTCACCAGCCGCAATCCCCACACGACCAAAGCGTCGCCATGGGCTCCCTGAAAAAACCGGGCCAGCTCCGCCAAGGACGTGGCCTTGGCGACTTGACTCTTTTCATCTCGAAGCCGCTTCCTCTCACAATCCAACTTTTCCGCTCAAACAACTTCCTTGGAGGATTTCGAGTTGGACCAGTTCTTTTGTGTTGGGACACATTTCTCTTCGCGCGATGTCCCTGATTCACCTCTGGACAAGTTCCTGGATGTCAGCCCTTCGCTTCGCCAAAATCAACCCCAAACCACCCCAAGACCCACCCTCGATCTAAGCCAGACAGAACTTAAACCAGCTCCAGCAACTCCGAACTGCCACCCCGTCAAAACCAACAATCCTTAAAAAAAAAAAAAAAAAAAAAAAAAAAAAAAAAAAACTACCCTCCGGATGGGCAAGCCCCCTCAACCCCCGTGCTAGGCTGTAACTGAGGGAAAATCAGCAAGGGTTCAATGAACTTGTTCACGGAGGCTCCAGATCTTGCTGCTCGTGCTCATCAAATTCTTGCTCGTCACGCTACCAACCTTTGTTGACGGCGCTCTCTTGTGTGCTGAATTAGCTTTGCGCTGGAGGTCGCTTAGATCTGTCGCCTTTTGGTCGGTGCCCACGCTGCTCAACGCAAACCTCGGCAAAGTTCGCCTGAGCCTTGCAGGGGAAAGGAGTGGAAAGCCCGCGCAGCGCCCACAGCTATCGAAGCTTGGGGCCCGCAACTTGGACTCCGGCTGTCCTGTGGAAACAGGAAAGCTAAGAAGGACGTTGGATCAGCTGCCAGACTTCGAAAAGCTCGCTGAAGCCTTTCAGCCCTCCATAGGCAGCGAGGACAACATCCTGGAAAGGCACAAGTTCACTATTTGCAAGGTCAGCTTGGACGCCGGCAATGAAAGAAGAAGGCTGTGGCCTTCACGTAGCAGCTGTTCGTACTAAGTTCGCCCACCATGAGCTTTTGCGGTCACGAAAATGTTTACAGCGAATTCGCGCGTTGCTCCTGCACTCCTGCAGCACGACTGTCTCGCCAGTGCCGCCGGCCCTCGTCCTCAGGAAACGCTCCAACGTTTCTGGAGGGAGGATCTGGGACTGCCGGAGCCCGCACGCAAAACCGACGTCGCCGACGTCTTGTAACGCAGCACTGAACAAGCGCTCGAACCTTCTGCTCAACCCTATTCGGAGACCTGTGCAGCTACACGGCTCGCAGCGGAAAGTTAGCTGTGGAGGAAGGTGTCTTTCTACTCGACAAAGCACGCGCTCTGGCAGCAGGTTTTTGCGCGATTGTTGGGTCAACATTTGCGTCTCCTTGAGCGAAGCGCGCTATCATGTCCTTGGGCACGCATTTTCTCATCGCGCGCGTTCTCGTGAACAAGGCGCCGTGTTTTTCGTCCGGCTCAGTCACGCGCGCGTTGGAGTGAACACCTCAGTCAGACCACGTCCTTCAGGAAAATGAGGGAAACCCAAAAAGGGCAATGGTCAAAGAGGTAAGCTAAGCTAAGTCCGTCATGCAACCAAAAAGCCGAGAAACGGATCCAGAAGGCAAGCTCTGCAACCAGAGAGGGGGCAAACAGATACCCCATGTCCTACGAATGCTGATTCTCGAAACTTTCCTCCACCAAGCCTGGGAGCAAATGGACCTTAAGCTACCCGTTTTCCCAGGTTCAAGGAAAGCCCCAAAAGGAGAAGCAAAAATCCAAAGTGGAAGCATCACCAGCCATCATCATCAACATCAGCATCAGCATCGTCATCAGCATCAGCGTCAGCATCACAACCACCCCAAAAAAGGCTCAACAAGTGTAAACGCAAACCAAGCGGAGCCAAAACATACCACGATGTTTCAACAGAAAAAAAAAAAAAAAAAAAAAAAAAAAAAAAAAAAAAAAAAAAACTCCAAAAGGAAGGCACCACGGCTGAACAGCACCCTTGGCTGCCGACCATGGAGTTTCGGGATGTTTGAAGGGGACATAGAAGGAACCCTGAAATGCAGGAAGCCCTGTTGGATTGCTTGGACCGCCAAAAGGTACACCACCGGTACAAGAGCAAAACACAAGCCCACCCATTGGCTTCCCTCACAGAAGGAGGGCTGCACCCAGGAGTCGGGAAATTGCGGCCTTTGCAAAACCCGAAACACGCCCACCGGCGGATCGCTGGGAGGCACGCCCACTTCAAGACATGGCCCACCAGCCAGCCGGCCGACTTGGTGAGGACCTCGGGTGTCCCATTTGGGTATGGGTCAAAATTAAACCACCAGGGGACCGCAGGTCTTAGTCCATGTTTCCATTTACCAGGGTTCCATTTTGGGTACCTATTTTTGACCCACAGCCATTTCCGGCGGGGCTTTCAACCGAAGGGACGTGGGTGGCTTCAAGGGGTTAACCAGTTTCAACCCAAGAAAGCAGTCTGTTGACGGCGCCAGGTTTATGAGTTGTTGGGATCAAAAATGGAGGCCACCAACAAAGGACATGGGAAAACTGGGGCTCGCTGCAATCGTGAAACATTGAGTGAGTCCCCCATGTCAGTCCCAAATTGACCATAGACTGCTGCAATCGTGATGTGGGTATATGAATTCAAACTGAAAATGGACCCTTTGGAGGACATCACTTTCACGCGAACATTTCATGTTGAGGATGTCTGCATCATTTGGCTCCCCAATTAAGAAAAGCAAACCAACCATGTAAGCATTATGGCCTCTATCATTGTAACGAGTGAAACCCATCATATGTGATGCCACCCCAACAAACCCCCGGTGTTTTGGAACAATCTCTGTTTGGAGGAATCCTTTGTTAGGCTCCACGTTCATCTGCAGCGGTATGCTTGTTGGGCCCTCTCTGCGCGTGCATCGTGATGTGCAGGTTGGAGAAGTGACTGAAATTCCAACCAGCTCTCACCCCAGCATCAGTCCTGGAGGTCGCGCGCCTCTGGGAAGGATCTCGAAATCAGAGCGGCACTGGTTGCCTTGAGCGATGCGATCTCCCTGCCTGCAAAAGCTGTGCAAGCAGAAGTGCAGCAGACAACCGTACATGTTCGCCGCACAGTGTTCGGCCTTCACCGCGTCCAAAATGCCCTCCATGCGAAAAACCGCTGCCCGCTCTGCAGGAGGCTTCAGTAGCTCAATCAGAAACAGATCTGCTGCGTGATCTATCCCTGGCTGCCGCAACCCATCGGCCCGGGGCGCCAGAGACTTCAGTGGCTCCGCCCCGCAATGGGCCTCTTGAATGGCCATCACCGCAGAGTAGTTGCTCAGCAGCTGCTCCTTGTTCGGCAGATCGAGAAAGCCGGCTTCTGAGCAGAGTTCCGCGTCGTAATAGAACACGCCGTCCAGCGTCTTGACCGCGGGATCCACGTAGGCCGGGCTGCCCTCGAGAGCAGTGTTGCTCCCAACATAGGTTGAGCTCCACCAGGAGAAGTTCTTGGTGGCATGGGAGGCGGGGCAGCCCCAAACAGCAGCGCTCGATCCTTCACCGGAGTTCCAGTACACCGCGTCCGCCACCTGCTCGGGTCGAAGCACCGGCGGGGTCTCCAGGCGTAGGCCGCTTTGCAGCAACACCATGCCCATCATGTCGTGGAAGAGCATGGCGTCAATTGCGGGTCCAGCCCGAAACAGATGGAAGTTCGATCTCAAGGCTCGAGCCCAAGCACGTGTTTCCAGGAAAATCCACTCGGAAGGAACTGCCGTCTTTTTTTTTGAGTGCCCGGCGCCCAGGTACTGCCCAAAGCTCCAGTCGGGGAGCCACTGAATCACCTTGGCAAGCTGAGGGCAAAGCCCGAAAAAGGCAGGCGCGCCCCTTTCATCCCAACCGACATGCTGGGAGAACCCCCTGAAGCCTAAACAGAGATTCTCCAAAAAGACACGCCCTTGTAATTCGACGAGAGGGAGAGACCAACCGGAACCTTCGGATCCAGCAGCTTCTTATCGAACCGTTAAGGTACCTTCCCGGGAGCCCATTTCGACTCTCAGACGCGTGGAACCACAAGGCCTTGAGGCCATGGTCCTTGGCAATCTATTCCAAGAGATTTGAACCATGCTGACCAACACTTGCAGGTCGGCAAGCATATATCCGGTTGGTATAAGTTATAACAACGAACAGGAGCAAATGAAAGCAAAATGAAAATGCTTGACAGTCTGACAGGGTGGACAGTCGCGCATCAGTGCCTGAAAGCCTCCTCTTTGACTCTCCTTCAAGATGGGACCAGGTTATGATTGCTCAGACCAACTTGGCCTCACCCCACTTGCAGTTTCTCTTGCATGATAGTGCACAGCATCTTGCAAACAAATTACCATTCATGACTTACTTAAGCAAATGATCTAAGCAGACGCAACAAAGGAACAATAAATATGGGCCATGCACCGATCCTGGATAGCCGCTTAGAGTCTACAAGTCGATACTACATCAGGAGAACAAAGTATATGCGCCGTTACTTGTCTCTGCAAAGCGATCACCCACGGATCGCATTTCCAACTCCGTTTTGTGCGGCAGGAGTGGGATGGTCAATTACAACCCACTTTGAATTTAGAATGCTTTAAAGGCTTTGAGGTGTGGAAATTCGACTGCAAAGGACACAGCAACAGCTGGCAGGATTCCAGGGTAAAATGAGCTGTGCTCCCTAAGAGGGCCCAAGACTCAAGAGGCGCAACTTCTGTCCTGGCAGTTTAGTCACAATCACGCTCCTAGTTGCGACCGCAAACCCGCCCGAAGGCTTAGCGCCGGGCCAGGAACATGAGGCCTCCGTTGAAGAAGAGCATGCCGAAGTAGAAGAACTGGTGGTGGCTTCAGATTTTGGGTGACCCGTTGAGTGTTCTAACAAATGGGGTGGCATGCTGTACACAGTGCTCCCAGTACCTTAAAGATGAGCAGGCCTCGTTTTGCCAGAGACTCGCTCAACGGTTCCCTCCGTTTCCCTTTGCCTAACTTCTACGCATGTTGGTTTCCATGAGGCTGCTTCCTTCTCCCCCAAAGTTCAATCAAGATCCAAAGCACCAAGGGGTTCCCGGGCTGTACAAATGCTGAAGCTGCAGAGGCACCGCTTCCAAAAGAAAAGATGCCTCCCAAAGGCATTGCCCCAAAACATGTGGCATGTTTGTCGGTAGGGCATGGGCAACCCGGGTTCCTCTTTGAGTCGACCCTTCCAAGGACCTGATATGGCCATGGTTCAAAACCAATGGTAGGTGCACCACCCATTTAAGTCTATTTTAGTGGAGATTGGGATGTTCACTGGGGTACCATTGGTTTTGACCCACAGCCATATTGACCGTGGCCTTCTGGACACCTCTCTGAGCCCCGCACCGGCAGGCGTTGAGACATCCTGCGAAGCAGAGAATTCCCCCAGCGGATCGCCCATCAAAAAAATACGCCAGGTGAGGTCCTTTCAACCCCCCGCAACTTGCTGGGTCCACCCAAATCATTGAATCATTGCTCTGGGCGAGGTCCTTTCACCCCCCCATAACGTGCTTTGGTCCAGCCAAATCGTTGCTGAACGGCCACGGGCGACTGCAACTCAAGAAAGCCATACATGTGCCCGGCGCAACAGTCACAAAACCCGGGGCACCAAAGCAAATCGGACGCAAATATGTCCGAAGATTAGCCGGCCCTTTTGGATGGCTTTCATAAGGAAACCAGAACAAACCATCCATTCAGGGAGGATCCCTTTTGGAGACACACCCACCCGTTGCTCCATCGGGAGCCCCGTGTTAGACCACTCCTTTCTGGATGTGCTTTCTTGTTGGAAACCTTTTGAAAATCTATTTCAGAACTTGGAAAGCCCTCAACCTTCCCTCCTTATGTTCCCTTCGAAACCCCAGAAAGTTATGCGCCTCCAGCATGCAGTCATATAAGACTCCAGCCTTTTCCTTTGCGGCCCTCCTCTATATTCCTCCATAAAACCGCAGAATCCACTGCAACTGCGGCTCCCCTTTCACAAGGTCGTTTTGATGCAGCGCTCCCTTTCCCCGATTTCAGGTACTCCCTTTCCCCCAACTCCCACGAAATCATCTCCACCGCAACCCGGGTCCAGGAGGCGCAGGCGCGAGCTCTCCGGGAGTGCATGCCCGCGCAGTAGCACTGGGCGCATAGCCCGATCCGTTTCTTCGGGTTTCAGTCAGCCTCCGTCAAAACAGGTGGTTTGGATTGGTGATTCCAGGTTCCAGAACAAGGACAAAACAAATTCCTCCCCCTGGAGCATTCCAGAGCAAATGTACAGCTTCAGAGTTTGACGAGGAAGAGCTGAAGTATCCCCAGCCCTACCTCTCCGACTGCCTGCAAGCCTCTCAGACCCGCATCGGTCACAATGGCTGACGGAGGCGGTTTCGGAGCGGGTGCGGAGCGGTCTTGCTCCCCTTGGCACGGCCACGCACACTGCTTCGCAGCCTTCAATGGGTGAAGCCTCTGCGCACTTTGGGCGTCAACCATACAAAACTCGTGGTTGTCTTTACAATGCTCACTTCGCTCGCGCAGCCTTCTGCGCACTTTCGGTGGGTCGACCTTCAAAAACTGCGAGTTGCTTCACGTGTTCAACGGCTAGCGAGTTGTGTAGCTAACTAGCTCACCAGCAAACTAGGGTAACGAGCAAACTAGGCCAACGAGCAAACTAGGCTAACTAGCCAATTAGCAAACTAGCTGACTAGCTACGTAACTCAAAAAGCTAAGGCAAAGCTGGACAACGCGCAAACTAGCCAACCAGTTCAGCAGCTGACCAGCTGCCTAACTGACTGTTTATAGATGGATTAGATTAGACTAGGTTTCTAGACTAGACTAGATAGATAGACAGACAGACAGACAGAAAGGCAGGCAGACAGGCAGACAAATAGACAGATAGATTGAATAGATAGACAGGATAAACAAATACATAGATTGATAAAAATGAAAAGGTAGATAGATAGATTGATTGATCGAGCGATCAATTGATGGATTGATTGATTGTTTGATTCATTCATTCATTCATTCATTCATTCATTCATTCATTCATTCATTCATTCATTCATTCATTCATTCATTCATTCATTCATTCATTCATTCATTCATTCCTTCATTCCTTCATTCCTTCATTCCTTCATTCCTTCATTCCTTCATTCCTTCATTCCTTCATTCCTTCATTCCTTCATTCCTTCATTCCTTCATTCCTTCATTCATTCATTCATTCATTCATTCATTCATTCATTCATTCATTCAATCAATCCAATTCATTCCAATTCAGTCCGATTCATTCCAATTCAGTCCCATTCATTCCAATTCATTCCGATTCATTCCGATTCATTCCGATTCATTTCCATTCATTGCCATTCTTTCCGATTCTTTCCGATTCATTCCGATTCATTCCGAATCATTCCGATTCATTCCGTTTCATTCCGACGAATTCCGTTTCATTCCGACGAATTCCGATTCATTCCGATTCATTCCGATTCATTCCAATTCAGTCCGATGTTATTCCCATAATTCCCATACTTTCCGACTCATTCCGATTCATTCCCATTTTATTCCCATTCATTCCCATTCTTTGCGATTCATTCCAATTCATTCCCATTCTTTCCGATTCATTCCCATTCATTCCCATTCATTCCCATTCATTCCCATTCATTCCCATTCATTCCCATTCATTCCTATTCATTCCCATTCATTCCCATTCTTTCCCGTTCATTCCCACTATTCCCATTCATTCCAAATCATTCCCATGTCGTTCCATTTCGTTCCATTTCGTTCCGTTTCGCTCCGTTTCATTCCCATGTCGTTCCATTTCGTTCCGTTTCATTTCCATCCCACTCCATTTCATGCCACCTCGTTCCAATTCATTTCAATTTCATTCCACCTCGTTCCATTTCATTCCATTTCATTCCATTTTATTCCAATTCATTCCACTTCATTCCAGTTCATTCCATTCCATTCTATTCAAATCCATTTCATTCCACTTCCTTCCTTTCCATTCTATTCCATTTCTTCATTCATTTATTCTTTCATTCAAAAACAGGGTGCTGTATTGAGAGAAAGACAGAAGGAGAGAGAGAGAGAGAGGAACAAACAAAAAAAGAGGGGGAGAGAAAGTGAGAATAAAGGAGAGAGAGAGAGAGAGAGAGAGAGGCGGAAACAAGAGGGAAAGAAGTGAGCTCCAAACAATATAGCAAGCCTTCCCCCGTTTTCCTGGAGTGGCTGGTCAAAAGGGGCAAGGAAATCAGTTCAAACCCTCAGAGAAAGCAGGAGTTCCGTTCAAAAAAGCGCTTGCTCGAATCTAGGGCGTTCCTTCTTTCCTATGTGCGCCTTGGGAAGCAGCCTTTCCTAAGGCCCGGTTCCTTTCTTGCGTTGTTTAGGGAATGGTCCAACGGTATGGCACATCGTTCCCCTCGTACAGGGATGATTGCATTTGAGATGGATTCCTTTGATTCGCGTGGTCCTCGTTAAGTCTTCCTTGCACCTTCCCCCCCTCGCCAAGACCGCTTCCCCATGAGCCCGAATTTCGGGTCAACCCTTGTGTAAACATGTGTAGGTCACAACCTCTTGTGGGGTTGCCTTTAAAGGCCCTTCCAGGCGTCCGTTTAAAGCGCTTGGGGCTGGCTGTTTACACATCCGATCCGAGGCAATGGCCGGG